TTTCCTACTTCCTTGTATAACCTTGTATCTTTTGGCAAATAGTATTGTTCATCCACATAGATAACTCCACAGTGTATGTTTTTTAGATATACATGCTACAGATATTGCATATACTGTCAACCTTGTACGCTCTGTAAATTCTGCTGTTATTCTTTGTGGTATCGTTTGAAACCTTACGTCAAAACAGGGATATCCATTGATGTACGCATAATCAATGAATTGATCATCTTTACTCATTATATCATTGTTTGTCGCTGACCACCATTTATTGTCTTCAATCTGTTAGGACCAATTGTACTTAATTATGTATATATCAATATATGTAACAAAATGAAAATAATTGGTCCTAATATATTTTATGGAATAAATGATGGTCAGCGACAAGTTATTATTTATTGGGTAAAGTGGTTCACTTGTTTAATTATATGTACATTAATGGATATCCCTATCTTTAAACGATACCACAAGAAATTACAACAGAGTTTATGGAGCATATAATGTTGACAGTATATGCAATATCTATAGCACCTAAAATCTATAGCATCTAAAAAAGCATACACTGAGAGGTTATCTATGTGGATGTACAAAACTATTTACCAAAGTATACAAAGAGGTAGGAAAAAATAATTTGTTGTAAAACATAATGTTAAAATCTACAAAATATTATATTAAAAAGTTTGGGCATTTATGCTAACTGTAATCAATATTATAAAATATATTGTATGTGTAATTAGCACTTTTTATTATCTAAATCAGATAACTTGTGTTTTATAATCCGACTGGCTCTGGGTTAACCCATTTTTTGGGTTATTCAGCCTACGTTTATTGGTCGAACAAGTACTTATAAACTTTATGATTGTCTAAAGGGACGTCTACATTGGAAGTAAATAGCAAGAAGTAGGAAATAACAGTAAGAAATTGACCAATCATAGTTAATTATTCTTCTCACATTCAACTGTGGTTGGTCAATTTCTTACTGTTATTTCCTACTTCTTGCTATTTACTTCCAATGTAGACGTCCCTTTAGTTTGCGTTCCGTTTCACACATATGCGTGCATTTATCTATAGTTCATGTTACGTATATTGTAGGCAATGCGCATAATGCGTGAAACGGAACGCAACCTAGTAGAGACGTATGACGTTATTAATCGCTCTCGGAGAGATTAAAGGGACGT